CTCAAGTCAGGCTCTCGTGGTGATGGAGATCGATCAAAGACACTTGAAGACTCAGTTTTGTCACTTTCTCTCTCTAGGTATCACTCTCTCTCTCTAAAACTCGGAACTCCTTCTCCTTTGGCTCAAATCTACCTAAAAGGCAGACCCTGGGCAAAACACGGTCGAGGGCACGGCCGTGCTTTGGTTTTGCCCGCCCGTGCTTTGCCCCATGTTAAAAACACGCCCGCGTCGGCCAAAGGAGCTACTGTTGGGTTGCTTCAATGTCTGCACTAAGTCGGCCACCTGCTGCTCGAGCCCGAACCTGGCCTCCATGGCGTGCACACCACGGTCGCAAAAATTCCTGCCTCTGGTGCTCTGCCCCCATGAATGATCTCTGGCAGCCAGTGTACTGATCATCTGTTTCAGTTCGGGTGGGGTCTTAGTAAGAATATCCCCTCCTGGGCATAGAGAATCAATCACCCTCTGGCTGTCCGGAGAGAGAGCACTGTAGAAGTTCCCCACGGTGAATGCATCACTGAAGCCATGATGGGGACACTGCCAGAAAAATCCCATGTATCGCTCCCATGCATCACGAAGTGACTCATCTGGCTCTTGGCGGAAGTGAGTGATCTCCCGCTGGATCTCTGTGGTCTTCGATGCCGGATAGTACCTATGCACAAACTTGTTGGCCAGATCGTCCCAAGAAATGATGGACAATGGGGGCTAGGTCTCCAACCACCTCTTAGCATTCCCCGCCAGAGAATGGGGGAAGAGGTGAAGGCGGATTGCGTCATAAGGGACACCGTTTAGCTTGAACTCGTTCGTCAGCTGCAGAAAACGTGAAAGATGCACCCTTGCCTCCTCATCCTTCAAGCCATGGAACTGGATAGAGGATGTAATGAGTTGAATCCAGCATGGCTTGATCTCGAAGTTGTTCGCTGGAATAGGTGGGTAGAGGATGACCGGGCGGATGTCAGCAATCCGTGGAGTGTAGTAGTACTCCAAGGTGGGACCCGACGGCGGTGGATGATGATGAACCCCATCTGCCTGGGGTATGGGGTTGTTCCCCAAGACCTGATTCATCGGGGGAACCTGGTGAGGATTCCCCTGGTGTGGATTGTAATCTCCTTCCATCTCATACTCGTCCTCGGACTCGCTGCTCAAATGGCCATCTATGCGCTCCTCCGTAGCCAGTCTAGCTTGCTGTTGTCTCCTGAGTTGGCGACATGTGCGTTCAATCTCTGGATTCAACGGCAGTAAACCTCCCGACTGGCTACGGGTCATGCACTACCTGCACACAATCAAGCAAGCAAACCTGTGAAGGCACAAGTGGGAAAGAACAAACAGTCAATGCGAAAATGAAAATGCTAAAGTAACAGAAATCACTTTTCTTCAACAACATAGCCGTCCCCGGCAACGGCGCCAAAAACTTGACTCACTCCTACTGTCACTCTAGAGAATGGCCAAGTGTAACCACTTCCTAAAGCGTAGTATAGCGGGTTTGGGTTTTAATGTCAACCCGGGTCCTAGATGTGATGACTACTCAGTGAATTCTTATTATTTAGCGGTGGAACTTTAGTGCAAGTTCAAACTAGCAAACAAGCAAAGCAAGTAAAACGTTTGTTTTCAAGTCAAGAGAGGTCACCCGGATATGGTTCCCCCTAGACTGCAGTTAAGCCGGATTGCAATTTACCAAGTTCAGTTTCTATGATAGTTATGCTGCGGGAGGTTCTTAAACAGTCTGAAGTCTCGACTAAAGGTCTCTAGACCCTCTCAATCTGAGTCCCCAGCGGGCGACTAACCTCCACCGGAGTAAACAGATTGAGGCCCTAACGAACCAAACCTCCACTATCGAAGTAAATTCGGTACAGAATAGTGAATTGACTCCTCGACTAAAGTCGCCAATTCACTACCTTCAATTAAGGGTGCTCAGTTAACCTAGGCAGATATTCTCTTTCTAGGCTAAAGCAGAAATAACAGGAATTTGATCAGGATTCAAGTCATTCAATCATTCAAGCCTCAATTGAATATAATCAAATCATAGAATCTGTACTTGGGTTCGTACAATCAGACCTAACATACAAATCTAGGGTTCTCCATACCCAGATGAATAAGAAAACTACTCCATAGAGAGAGATGGAAAATCTAGCTCAGATGCGGAAACCATACTGTGAAAGATGATAATCTGCTTCTGGCGCTCAATCGGATCTTCTCCAAGATCAAGCCGGGCTCTCATGGTGACGGAGATCGATCAATGACTCAGTTTCGTCACTTTCTTTCTCTAGGTATCGCTCTCTCTCTCTAAAACTCGGAACTCCTTCTCCTTTGGCTCAAATCTACCTAAAAGGCAGACCCTGGGCAAAACACGGTCGAGCGCACGGCCGTGCTTTGGTTTTGCCCGCCCTTGCTTTGCCCCGTGTTAAAAACACGCCCGCGTCGGCCAAAACACTAGCGTGCCTAAATATGGACACGGCCGTGTTTTGCTTTAGGCGCGCCCGTGTTTTTATTGTCGAACCTGTTCCCCTATATTCAATGCTTCGTTTCTCCCTCGTCCGTACTCCGAATCAGTCGCCGTTTGATCCCAGACGCTTGTAGTATCGTCCTCTTTCTTTTCATGAAAAGATTCCATGATTCTTTTTCCATAAAGTGAGGTAGAAATCCATTCTTCTTCAGGTCATGCCCGAGTTTCTTCTCCCTAATCGTCAATTGATCTCTGATTGACTTGAAACTTGCGCCTATGCTTCACTTTATGTGCTAGGACCTGAAATGTGACAAAGGAACACAAACTAGTGTAAAACAGGCTAAAGGCACGATAATTAAAGCTCAAATGATCAAGAAACAAAGGGGGAAACATGTGCAAAATTCGAGTCATCAATGCGTCGTACTTAGCCTGATGGGCCACGTACTGTTGCTGGAACTGTAACTGATGGTCCAGTAGTACCTGGTTTTAGAGACCTAATTGATGGAACTAGAGACACATATGTTGGAAATGATCGGTGAAGAAATCCATCGACGGGATAGAAGGATCGGAGGAGTACTCCCCACGCTTGGATATCCGTCATGGAGGAAGATCCCCATGCGGGGACAGCTCAGGCTTCATCTCAACATCATAAGCATCATCTCCACCATCCCCATCCTCATCATCATCATCCTCGTACTCCTCCTCATCATCTTCTGCAACATCATGTGGCATGTAAATGCCATTTGATATAGAACTCCGAGCTCGTGAAAGCTTAGATTATTTTGTCAAAGTCGTGCAGTTTCGACTCAATCTCGGATAGATCGAATCGATCTTGAAAAAACATAAAGAAAAGGATACGTGGGGATAGATACTCACCACAATCAAGTGTGATCGCCTGATTGATAAGAGTCTTGCCAAGCTCTTTTGAATTCTTCAACAGAAAAACTCAAACAAGTATTTAGTCCTAGCTATGGAATCCACCAAAAGCTAAAACAATAAACCATAAGCACTCATGCTCCATGGGGAAAAACTCCTCAGAGTTAATTTTCATTCAACATAACTCTCTAATATCCAAAACTCGTGTTTACAACTCTTTATATAGCATAGAGCAAATAAAATAACCAAAAATCCAAAAATAAACAAAAACCTAAACCTAAAAGGAAGGCCAAACTTGTCCATATCCGAAACTCGATCCAAATACCCGGTCAGGTATTTTCCTGTCACGACTGGGGGGTATTCTGCTTGAATTACTCAGTCCCCTCTCCAAATCGCTGGTCGGGTATTAATGGCGCTAGCTGGGTATACTTCTTTGCGGGGAATCACATCACCATCCACCCACTCCCTGCCTTAAACTAAGGTGAAGAGAAGAGCGTTGCCGAGGACGGTCCTGTTGTAACACCCTAACCCGGCCGGGTACTACTTTTACTAAAATGCCCTTGATAAATAAAATACTCAAATCTTAGATTGCAACAAGGAAAATTTTTAATAAATAAAATACTGAAAAACACACACTTGTAGTTCAAAGCAAAGCCCTAACATGTGGGCAAACTTAACTCAAACTTTAAAAACTCAACTAGATCTCTAGTCTATACTCATAATCATAAAACATAATAACTAACTAGTCTCAGGTGTTGCTGCTTGTGTGAAAAACTCTGACTAGACATCCTCTGTGACGCTTATTCTGCCCCCCTCTAGCTGCTAGCCCTCGAATTCGCTGCTCACTAAATGCTCCTCTAGCTCTTCAAACTGGTGAGTGAGATGGGGTCAGTCTACGCCCTTACGTTTAACATCTTATTAAGACTTGATTACTTTACTTAACTGAGTGGAAGTTGTTTTGTACTTCTACTATTAAACAGCTTAACTCTTAAAACTGTATGGGAGTAACTGTTACTCTCCATTCTTAAAGCTTAAATCTCAACTTAAATACTTGAATGACACTGGGATCCCTCACTAGCTAGTCCGGTTGCCCAACTCATACGTATGAGAAGCCATCTAGGCTTTCCTCAAACTTAAACTTAGTTAGGGAAGTCGTAACGATTCATCCCCCTAATATCTTAAATTATCGTGGTGGCTCTTCACCACGATTCTCAAGGGCATAACTGCTGCCCATCTTAAAAGTCTCGAAAGCATAACTGCTTCTCTATCTCAAACTGTCTCAAAAGGCAACGGACTGGCGCTAGTGACTAAAAACACTTAAAACGACTTCACCTTCTTGAAGGTGGGTTACTTCTTAAAAGAACTTGTTTCTTAGCTTCAACAATAACTTATAAACTTAAAGCTTAAATTTAAATAAGAACTCATGCACATTCACATCAAGCATAGCTCAAACAAAATCGCATATCATTACCCATAAGCACAATCAAGCAACAACAATCACTTCATCAATTACTTAAAGCTCGTCAAACTTGAAAGAATACGTAAGGCGTAGAATTTATCCCCTTTACACTCACCTTACGTCGAAGCGGAATGAATTTAATCAACTATAGGAAATCAATTTCCCTTCACTTGATCATCACCTGACTGCTCGGAACCAACTCCACCATCACAAGGGCGACGTGTCCTAATGCCAAGCAACCACTTCCCACAATATAAAATCATTAACTTTACTTCCTGATGCAAGCTGAGCACCACTTTTGTTGAATCGTAGGGCAGTCACCGCACCTTTGTGGCCATTTAATGTAGTCTCGCAGGTTCCCTTGTCACTATCCCAAATCCTAATACTACCGTCGGCATAACCACTTGCTACCAGCGGTGAAGACATGGAGGCGGCTATGGAGGTGACTGCGAGAGAAGGCCCACTACAAGAAGCCGTCGAAGGCTCTAGCATCCTCGTGCAGATGCCTTGCCGGACATGCCAACCTCCGACCTTCTCGAGCGCCGGAGCTAGCAGGTGTTTCCTAGAGCTGTCGAAGACTAAGTTCGATTCGACTGAGGCTATTACGCCGAACGAAGCCCTAGGCTCGTACCTCAGGTAAGATTTCACCATGGCGTCCGCCACTTAGTTTTGCTTCCTGCTTCTCCGCTCTGGTCACGGCAGTTATGGCGGCTGAGGTTTTCCAAGGGTTTTAAAGAAAGGCGCCTTTCTCTAGATAACTACGTCAGAGCCAGTAACGAACCCAACACGAGGTGGAGATGCGCCCGAGAGCTCCCGCAGAACTAATCGTCCCTATCGCGCGGATGTTTGTCGAGAAGTAGGGCTGCTTGGCTGCGAAAGCGCTGTAGCCGTGAGTGATAAATGCTGACAGTGCAGACGGAAGGAACACACACCGACGAGTAGCGCTGACCAGACAAAAGCGACGGGCGGCGGAGTCAGGGCTCTCCGATTGCATCGCTATCTCTAAGCTTTTTTTTTTCTTTGTTCTCAACGAGGCGAGGGCTTTAATTTGTTTGGGGGTGAGGCCGGGTGGAACGAGAGATTAGGGTTGGGGTTGGGTTTTAATTAACTCGATGGATATTTTGGGCATTTCATAAATTAAGGGTGAGTTTAATCCGCAACTCAACTAACGACCGTAACTTACTCGATTTATATTGAAACTCGACACCGCTTGAACCGATAGTCACATTTTTAATCCTTATCGACAATACGGTGGAACTTTACCTAAGGGTATAATAGTCATTTTGACTTTTGGGAAGAGCGGGGTGTAACACCTGTTGAGCAGATGTGAGCCGAACTGAACAGTGGGGTCAGTCAACCCCGGAAGTCCACCTCAAAGTGTCGAGCCAAACGAGTGATTATGGGGGGGGGATCACAAATGAGGTAGTTGGCTTTGCGTGAAACTTTGCGAAAGTCTTCGCCACTACAGAACCCAGGTGCAGTGAACGGTCTGCATTCATCATAATGAACATGCAGTAAAGCACGCGCTTTGTGAGCTTGTGCGAACTGCTGCCGTTCGGATCCACCGAGTGAGTGAAAAGGAGGTTGACAATGTGCCACTGAGGTTGGAGTGTGGTGACATTAGTATGCCCGACTTCGAACACCTTCTGAAGGAACTCGGGCGGCAAATATGATGGTAGAACTCGGTGGGTTGGAAGCCAGGTGGGCTAGTGGACTCCTTAATGGCAGACCGGGGGGAATAGATGATCCCCAATGCTCTGGCGAGACCATCCATACTCATATACCGATTTTCCCGTCCATTCAGAAGGAGATGGCGGTGGGATCATCAAGAGTCTCCTTAGGTCGCAGGGAGTAAGAGGTGTAGAACTGCCACACTAGCTCCTTATAGGTGCTATCCGGAATGGATAGGAGAGTGTGCCACTTGGGGTGGGGGATTGCAATACCATCTCTTCGTAACAGTGGAGCTGGAACGATCTGTCCAGGACCTCTTGGAACTTCGATTGGGCCTCTACAGTGGGGGGCATGTGGCACATGTACCGGTGATTGCGAGACCTGATCCTGCAAAAGAGATAGGCCAAAGGTGGAACCATGAGAAAAACCACGTTAGAAAAACAAGCAGGGGATATCAAATTCCCCCCACACATAAAAACCACCTAGACAAGAAGTTGAGTTCAAAAAAGCCGCTTTGCAATCACAGATACAGGAAGATCGGCAAAGTAGACAAATTTCTTGCGGTAAAACATGGCAATTATACATCAGTTATTGCTAGCAGGCCACAAACAAACACATCCCTCTCCCTAAACTAGTTCAAACATGCCAACCAATTCACGGTTCTCAAACATAACATCCACAGTCTGATTTTCCAAAATATAGCCAAGAAAGCATAAAGCACGAATGTGGACACACAAGGAGGACCATAGAGGAAGGTGAGAGAGAGGAAAGCTATTCCGGATGTATAAATCATCGTGTAGACGGAAGAAATCTACTTTGGGTCATCAATCGTCACTCCTCGAGACTTGAATCGAGCTCCAAAGGTTGGAAGACTTGATCTAGGGAACTCAAGGGTCTTTGTTTGACACTTTCTCTCTCTAAACCTCTGTTTTTAGCTTCCAAACTCGAATGGTAATCCAAAACCTGCGTTTGTCTCTAAACAGCTCATGTTCTGCATCCCTGTCTTGATTACCCAGTCGGGTATTTTGATGTAAGGCTGGATTTTCCCAAAACATTGCGTAGCCACTAACGGTCCGATGCACAAATCCTTGGCCTCAGGTTCGAATCTCCAATCGGGGATTTAATGATTTCGCTGGGGGGTTGCCCTGGATGACTTCCTCGGGCTATGATTCCATTTCCCCAGTCGGGGGAATAGTGGTCAAGCCGGCTATTTTGGTCCTCGAGCTCCCCTAGTTATTGTAACACCCTAATTTCGGGTTTAGGTTCGAATGAAAAAATGGAAGACAATTGGAAATAATAAAGCGATGTAGAAGTAGCAACAAGCTAGAATACAGGCTGAAGCACGACCGTGTTGCAATATCATGTTTGGTTAGGTGTGTCGTTTTAACGAAATTGAAAATGGAACAACTGAGGCTTGAACACGGTCAAGGAACACACCCTTGTTGCCAGACCGTGTTCATTTAAATGCTTTCTTAAGATCAGGAGTAAGTGAGCGAGTCGTTTCGGAGGGAACTAGAAACGTAGCATAACACGGCCTGAACAGGTGGTGTTGCGTGACTGTGTCACTCGAAGCATCGTAGAGCGTCGAGGGACGATACGATGATTGGGGACAACACAGGGTAGAACACGACTATGTCCCATGACCGTGTTGTGTCTAATATAAGGGCTGGCAGATTCTTCTGGCCGAACTTTTGCACCAAAAAGCTTCCCCAAACTCTCTGATCGAGCAGCGGACGAAGAAAGGAAGGAGGACAGAAAGGGGTTAATATCTTAGTCAAAGATCGTTTAGTTTATGCAATTACTTTAAGTAATGCTAGTTAATTTTTTAGTTATGCAAAATTATGTGTGTGAGGCATCACACCGCCTACTGAAGGTGAAGGCACACATTCTGCTTGTGTATGTATGAATGTGTGTGTTGATGTATGGTGAATGGTAAGATGAACCTACGGGCGGTTGGGCCATTACTGGACGCTGTTGATGGTTGTATCACTACTGGACGATGATACGTAACGCAACAGTTGATCTAGCATGGTACTAGACTGTGAGACGTAACACAGACCATTTTCGAGTTGGATATGCAACTGGACAAGGAGACGTAACGTGTTTGCCATACCAAGGTAGGGACACCCGACGACGAGACGAAACGCGGTGGTCCCTAGTGATGTGTGTTTGAGTTAAGGATAGAAGTATAGAACTTGTATGAGTTAAAGTTGGAATAAGGTATTAATGATGAAAGCGAGAACAACTTTCATATAAGGAAAGGAAACACAAATAATGTTTTTTAGTAAGGGGTTTACTTAGGGCAAAGACCTTAAGAAGTAACGACGAGACTAACCCCTTCTCACTCACAAGGTATAGAAAGGGGAAGACATCGTACACATCACAAAGAACAATAACGATATAGATTTATTTTTCACATCCCTATCTCAATCGTCAATCCCAAGGTACATGTCTTCTAAATTACTCTCTAGCGACGATCACCACATTGGGGAAGAAACTACCAACAGTCCCTTCTCTCTCCTCTCAACTTCCCTTTTCCCCTCTCATCCAGTCCCCAGGTCACCAACTCCCATCTCCGAACCTACCAAATGGATGCCGACGAGCGACGTTTGATTCATCTCTCTCTCTCTCTCTCTATCTCTCACCTCCATGAACCCACTGAATGACACACTAGCTAGAGACGGTAGCGATGACATATAGCTCATCTCCGAATCCATTGAACGATCGCTGACAAACGACGTTGATTTCCTCTGTTCTCACCTCCCTATACCCGTTGAACGACACGCCAGATTTTCCCGGGAAATCCCTTTTTTTCTTCGCATAATTGAAGGTGTCAGAGAGTCTTATTTGAGCTTCCTTGGTGTCTGTTCAATCTCTCAAAGCTCCGAGCCCTCCTTCTTGACATATTTGAAGTGGATTGAAGCTCCGAGCTCTCCTTTCCTATCAATTTGAAGTCGAACGATGCTCTATATTGGGTTGCCCATAAGATGCGAGGGTAACATTTACACCTAAAATTTATGGTAACTGTTAGGTCTATCTCAAAATAAATTAAGTTCAAGTATATTCCAGAAATGATATGGATGCTTTCAAAAAGGGTTATTTTGAGAGCGATTTGATTTTCTCTTTATTATTAGAATGGGTAGAAGGATTGAGGGAGAAGATGTTGAAATGAAAAAATATTCATGTTTCCAACAAATCAAACTTTATTTCTTTTTGCAGGCACTTAGTTCTTGGAGTTCCAATACAAAGATGCATAAGGGAGTAGGGTAGACGAGGTCTTATAGGCTCATTGGGGATCCAATCAGCAGAACTGAATGCTATTGTTTTCATCTTTTCTTTCCCGTCATACTTTGTAATGCGTCCTTCAATCCAAAAGCATAACCATATATAGAATGCTTGAGAGTTAAACGATTATGTCAATAATTCCATGATTAATCTTTTTAATGCTTCGAAAACAATGTTCCCAAAGCTGATCCTGATTAAACTGCTGCAACAATTACTTATGGTGTTTTCAGAGAAGATAAAGTAGTAGCTTACTGAAACTGATGTAACAATTGAGAGTGATACTGTCAAGTGAAATCTCTATGTTGGCATTGCTTCTTTTATTAGTTTATTGTTGGATTTAGGATATGTTTGTGGGTAGCTTCCAATCCTAGGTTACATGTAATCCTTCTTATAAACATTAAAATTGTGTTTTAGCTTCATATAATTATAGAGTTCTAGGACATTCGTAGACCCCTGTTTTTTTTCATATTGACAATGATGCATGACTCATTTATTTAGCTGATAATGAGCTTGGTGCATTTTGTAAAGGAGCCATTGTGGTCTCAGTTAGTTAAAAGGAAGATTAAAGCCTGAATTATGTGATTTCTCCCACACCTCAACATTTTATATGTAAATGTGACTGATTAGGAGAATTTCTTCTACTCTAAATGAAACTAATAATTAGAAGAAAAATACTTTAAACACCTTACAAGGGA